CAAGAACAAGACTGGTAAAAAAAAAATCGATTTTTTAATAAAATTGAAGGCAAAATAGTTACTAATACTTGACAATTTTAGTTACTAACTGTAAAGAAATGATATATCCAATATACTTTTGCATATTCGACTCTTCTAATTTTTCATTCGGGCTAAGTCAGGTTTCTTCTATCTAAAAAATTACAGTAATATCTCTATTATAATAAGCTAATATGTAACTGCAAGACTGTTGCGAGGCTCTCGCGCAAGACCAAGACTGAGTATGCGAGACCCAGACTCGTCTCGGTCTCGCATTTGGGCAACAGTAGGATAGCATTAAGTCAACAATTTTCGAAGATCGTTGGTATCAAAACTTTAAGACCTATTACCTTCGAAGAGTGCATCGTAGTCATACACTCAAAATAAAAAATAATAAATAAACCCTTACCACTCATTAAAACCGACGAAGGGTCTTGGTTTCACTGGTTTGTAAGCAAGTACTACTTCAAGGCCAAGGTTGTGCAGGAAGGAGTAACAGAATAATTGCTACTGCTGGATTCGAACCTAGATCCTCGAGTATAGGAATACAGTGCCTTACTCGCGTAACTAATTCCACTCCGTTTTTTTACTCCTTATTTTTAATTTTAAATACTCCCACTCAGTAAAACTAGTTCATAATAATGCGTATCTTTGCAAGACACGTCGTATAGCAAGTGTAATTATTTCTCTGGCTAACTGAGCAGATAAATCCCTGCTGTCGTTCTGAAGTTAATGCTCCCAAGGAACAGGTGTCGGTCTATTGTCAACATATGGTGAGATCGGCAGTAGAGTAATAGGTCTCGGAAAACAAGGAGCTTAGAGTACTATAGGCTTTGTACTCAATGGGCACGACAGATTGGCAACAATCATTTAGTTCACTTTAATTGAGTATGAAAACGTGTATACAATATAAAAATAGCTCATACACATATACACAAGATCATCAGATAGACACAGTAGCGGATTCAGAATTTAATTTGGGGGCTTTAGACAGAAATCTTTAATTTTTTTTTCTGAAAACACGGATACTTTTACGTGACTAGATAGAAAATCACATCGTTTCTTTACACAACCTGAAGTGAATCTTCAATTTTTTTCTTATAAACCTTAACATATTTATTGAATATTTAATAGTTGACCGTTCAAGCCCTTCAGAAGACCTGCAAAGTCGGCTCGAAAAGTTGGATTTTAATAAAAATAGTTTTACAACTATTTCGCCTATTTATGGCCGCAACCCCTGACCATCTCCTTCTTTTACATATTTAATATGAACTTAAATAATATTAAACGAGGAAGTTTTTCTAAAAGTGGGGTAACTGTAGTACCGTTGAAGGGAGATAAAAAAAAATCGCAAATAATTTATGATTTATTTTTTAAAAGGAATTTAACTGAGTTTGACAGCTCAATATTCCTCTTTAAGTGGTTTTAACAATGAACAACTCTTCCTTTAAAAACAATTTTGTTTAGTTTACCATGGAGCAATGTTCAATTATTTATATCAAATATGTTTTTTAGTTATCGCTTCCTTTTCAACAAAAAAAAGTATCACTTATAAAACCTCAAATCTTAAATTTCCCCCTTCCCTACTGGAAATTAGGTAATTATTTATAGGAACTTTTTTGTAAATCATGATGTCTACTATAAGCCATTTAAATATTTCCCTCTGCTTACGGATCAACTATATATATATATATATATATATATATATATATATATATATATATATACAGGTTGTCTCAGTTATTAATAACCAAACTCTTCTAGGGACAAATTCTAGAATAAATTTCCCACAAAAAAAGTTAATTTGATATATAGGCTAATTCCGAACAGAAAAGGAGTTGGGATCAATTTTGCGTCTTCCTCAAAGGTAGTTACGCTTTTTATTGAATAAGATGGAATTGCTTAATAATTGTTCAAGATAATTAAATTCTAAGTACATTATCGTAAAGTACATAAAATTTTCTTTGAGAAAACAGTAATTAAGTTTACTAATATGAATGATAAAAGGGACTTAATGGATACGGCCGCTGTACTGCTCCATACGAAAACTGAGATATGTTGCTCGTTTATGGGCAGTTTAACCGCAGCAGCATAACGGTCGTATTAGACCTCCTGAAAGTGCTTCTTTATCATTGACTTTAGTAAATTCAATAATTGTTTTCTCTAAAAAATTTTGTCTACTTTATGATGGCATACTTATGATTTAATTATCTTGAACAGTTTTTGGGCAACTCCATCTTATTCAATAAAAACGGGACCACCTATTGAAAAAAAACGAAATTGGTCATAACTACTTTTGCGTTCAAAATAGGCCTATGCATCAAATGTATTTTTTGTTGGAAATTTTGACTACAATTATCCAATCCTCCTCTGAGTTTGGCCATTAAAAACTAAAACACCCTGCATTTATAACGTTAATTAATTCGTCAAGCCACATTAAATAAAAAAATGTAATTAACCGAACAATAATACATTTAGAGATAATTTATTAATTTTTTTTTTTCGTAAAACATGATACTATATTATATAGTAGCAACGTACGCATTATAATTTACAAAATAGGACTTTGTTTACGTATTTAGCTCACATCACTGTCACTGACAAATAAGCACAAAAAAAAATTCATTTTGGAGGGGCTTGAACCCAAGTCCTCTCCTCCTTTCTTCCCTCCTTCCCCGTTGATCTACCAATGTACAGACACAACATATAACTCATAAGAAAGTCTTGATGGTATAATTACGTATCAGTTCAATCAAGGACTCGCACATCCTGACATTAGTTTTTTTTTTTTTTTTAATAATTTTATCATCGATGTAAAATAAAACCTTGAAAATAAGCAGGTATGGTGAGAAACCTTTCATTGTGGCATGATTTATAAGGTTTTTTAAGCATGCAATGTATTATTAAATAAATATAGCGCATTAAATTTCCTACCTTTTCTGATGATGGTTTCGTTCCTAGTAGATAGCCCTGAAAAAGACAGATAAACATGTTAATGAACAATAGATTAACATAATCCTTCAATTTAATGTTATATTTATACTGTGTTATAATCACAAATGATGGATACTATTCAACATAAGTGACGATTACTGAAATAACTTGATCTAAAGCTCATCGATGTCAATGATTCTCACTAGGTCAGAGCAATATAATATTAGTTTATATTGTTATTGAAAACATGAATAATAATTTTTTAAATCTTGTTTTAGAGTAAACAAAGTCTTTGAGTATTTTATATTTTGGATGTTAAAAAATATCTATGATTTTAATTTTAAAAAGATTCTTATATTTTATTTGATAGTTTTAATATCAGTAGTGATATAAAATTTGGCTATCCTAAAACGATATATCCCCTCCCCCTCCCAAAAAAAAAAATAAATAAAATAAACAAAAATATAATTCAAAATGTCAATAAAGGAAGGCACATTATTGGTGAGAATATAATAATATTTTAAAAATAAACATATTATACGCATCGATCATCGATGTTTGAAATATTAATATTTTTTATTTATATTTCAATATTTACATCCCTACTGTTATTAAATATTTAAAATATCGATGTTTTTCTAAAATTAAAGAATTACTAGACTATATTCAAACTATCGATACGATATATATATATATATATATATATATATATATATATACACCTATCGATTTATACTAGACATTTTCACACCTATTTCACATTAATGAGTTAGCTACAAAGATTTGAGCGTTACTGTAGCAGCATGTATGTTAGGACTTAGGACCTATTATTTTGAACTTATACCAGTATGTACTTATGTACTCACAATGGTTATTTTAGAAGGGCCATAGTCGAACTTAGGAAAATCGTTTATTGAAAAGTGTTTTGTTTCCATCTATGCATAAAACTTAATATAAGACAATTGCTAAACTGGTCATTATTTTAGGATTTTAGATATTTGGAGGAATATGGTTGACTAATTAAAGAAATTAAAACTAGATATGTGATCTACAATCTTCATCAGAAACAAAACTAAATATATATGTATACATAAATCGAGTAAAAAACTGAACGTACTTTTACCAAAAAAAAAAAATTAATTATTAATTATTATTTTCCCCATCCGTTGTAACAATTATTGTAATTATTATTATATAAGTAAAATAATTTTTTTAACTGACTGTGACAGTTTAAAAAATTCTTCAACTCATTTAAATTTTTCTTATATTACATCATGAAGTCGATTTAATTAAAACATAATTTTACATGTGCGTCATTGTTTTCCCGAATGATTAATTCATTTTTTTTGTTCTTATTTTGGATTCACAAATGTGACAAAAATATAAATTTTTGCTATGCAAAAATATTTGTCGAGTTTATTTGAGAATACTACACAAAATTGCATAGCCTACTCAAGAGGCATATTGTTCATATTATTAAGTTCTCTGAAATGTTCACTAAAGTTGATAGTCCTGAGAAGAAAAAACAGTCTTGAGGATTGGATAAAACGTAGAGTGAATGATTGAAGATGTGATTGAAAAAGAAGATTTGGGTTTTGATAGGGTTGAATGAAGGCAAAATATGTTGTCGGCAACGTAGCTTCAGGTATATGGCCGCTCTAATATGAACGTGTATGTGACCTATGGTTAACCAAGACCACAGAAGGTAGTAGGGATGTTACCAACACCACATTGCGTCAATTATTTAATCATACGCATAATTTCGCACCCTCCGTATAGGTTTTCGCTCTGTACCATGCACGTACCAACTTAATGATACCATCATTGGAGAAATTGAAAAAGTAAAAGAAAGACTCTTAAAAGGAGAAGATTGGGGTTGAGAAGGAGAGGAAAAAGAATTAGAAAGAGGTGAAAGATAGGAGAGGGAGGGGGGTGTGTTGCGTTTTGTCATTGGTCCACGGAGCGGTCCACCCCCCAAGGGGGGGAGGGGAGGGGAGTAGGGGTGGGGGCGACCAGGTGAGCCCCTCCACTTCAGTACAGCACTTTCCCATGGCGGGTCAACATCTCCTCTCCTTCTTCACCCACGGGCTACCTTCACATCTTCTGGTTCGTACAGGATTATTATTTTATATCAACAAAATCATTTATCTGTAAGGTATATAGTTGTGTTTTGCATGCCGGTACGTTCTGTGCGTCGTTATAACGGGATGTGTTAAGTCAGTGTTCAGTGTAAGAGTATCAACATAGCTCCTGAATGTTCTCAAGTTCCTGTCAATGCTCGTAGTATCTTTTTTTTTTTTTTTTTTTTAATCGCAACCTACCTACAGATTCCAGTGTATGTATTCAGCCTTATCAAAACATTCTAAAAAAAAAAAAAAAAAAAAATCAGTGTTCTGTCTTAACAGCTTCAATATAGTTATTACTACAAATCAAAACAACGTCTTGTCTATATTTTCGAAACCAAATATTTTTTTATATGCATGCATCATGTAATAAACATTTTGGTTGTGTATTTAATTAGTAGTTTACCAACAATAATAACGATTCCGCTTCTACATAGTTCTTATACCATAAGATGAAACCGCACAGTCCATTATTGTTTATTGATAATTTCACTTAATTTAAACTTCTTATGTTAATAAATAAATATGATTAATCTTTCCGGCGATAGCGGAACAAAAATCTTAACCCCAACGTAGTTCAAGCATTGCCATAAATAAAAAGAGGAAACAAATATTTATATCAACAAAAAATAAAGTTATCGATCGAAATAGTGACTAAAAATATTTGCTTGTGTCTACCGAAAAATCTTGTTTATTTGTACTAACAATTCAAAGAAATATCACACAGCTTGAAGATCTCTGTTGGGATAATAAATACTATACAAAACTTATTCATATATATATACAAAATAATGTATATTTTCCTACCGAATAACAAGTGCGCTTACTAATCGATATTGATTAAAAACTTTTCTTAACGCATTGATTGTTTATTTATAAAAGTTTATATTTCTTCAAGACTTTAACTGTGTTATTACTTTAAATGAATTCATTAAAAAAAAAAAAAAAATGTATATATACTTCCGTCCTTAAAACATTTAGTTCTTCAAGTTGTTAATTAATCGATAACTATACTATAGTAAAAAAATGTATATATACTTCCGTCCTTAAAACATTTAGTTCTTCAAGTAATTAATTAATCGATAACTATAATAATTACAGTGTGATTTTTCAATACAATAATACTTATATCAAAATACAGAAATAATTGCAATAATATTGAATTATTACTTAAGAATAATTCTATAGTAAGAATTATCACCTGGTACAATGTTTATCAATTAATGTTTTATTTAATTATAGTGTAAAACGTTGTAATTTTTAATAAAGATTCAATTCAACATTAAATCATTGCCCGTGTTTTTTAGATCATGTTATCACTATTGTTATATAAAAGTAATTAGATTATTTTCGCGCTCGTGCCTTGTGTTTATGAACAAAATTTATTTTTATATTTTATATAAATAAAATTGTTGATTATATGAGGTCGGTGAGATAATGTATTAATAATATAAATTATCCATTATGATATAAATTAATTTAATGCAGAGGAAGTGATAAAAAATTGTATCAATGTAAAGATTATAAACAAAAGTAAAATTATTATATAAACAATGCCATTACAAATCTAAATAATTTAATAAAAGTAGTTTATTTTAATTAAAAACTTATCATAAAATTAACAGAAGGTCGCAAAGGAAATTTAGTTCCTTTAAATCAATATAAAAATTAACTTATTGATCTGAAAATTTCTGAAAAGATTCCTAGGTTTTTGTAATTGGTTTTGTTTTTCTTTGCACACATTAATATTAATTACTTAGTTATCGAAAAAATAATCGTATTATTTAAAATATAATACCTAAGCAGTTATTGTGATGTTATCATTGTTTTTATATGTGTTATTATATATTATTAATGATAAGTGTAATAACAAAACTGTTTTATTAATTTTGTTTCATTTTTACTAGTTCTATAGATTTTTTTTTTTTCTGAGCTTAAGAAAATTGAATGGAATATAGAAATCAAAATTACAGTTCTTTGATTCTATTCAATTATAACTCTTTAGAATTTTTTTAAATCTATTTTAAATTGTTTATTATTTTTTATTTCTCTATTTCAAATGATTATAATAATTGTCATCAATTATTTAATATTAACTGAATAATTAAAATGAATGAGATTTTAAATGTTTATTGTTTTTCAGGAGCCTCATGGAGCTGTGTTGGACCGGTGGAACATCTGCAGCCCTGAAGAGGAACCTCTGGTTCTACAACAATTCTTAAGATTCGGCGAGACCCGAGCCATCACCCAGCAGCTTCTGCTACATGGAGTCGGCGACGGGAGGTACCTTCCCAGGATGGAGGCAGACATCAAGAAGTTCCTGGAACGAGCGCCGATGAGGCCGATGAAGGACGAGCGCCCCGTAAAGCCTGCGCCGTCCCCTGCGATGATGCCGCGCCACCCCCCGCCTCCGTTGTCTCCTCATCAACCTAAACCGCCTCCGTTCAAGCTGCCACCGACAGGCCTTACCTGTACCCCCGCACCGCCACCCGTTTCCTCTCCGAACAATCTACCTACCCCTATATCCGTATCACCCCTTAACAGGCTCCAGAACATGCAGCCCTTCGATTTTAGGAAACTTGGCAAATGCAGCCCAGACCGCAAGAAGCCAGAAGAATCCACCAACCCTGGCCTGATGAACCTCTGCGTCACAAACAGCTCACCCGTATGCCTCCCCCCTCCAACGATCCCGAGCACCGTACAGTTCGGAGGTCACAAATCTCCCTCAGCTGAATATTACCATAATTCTAGCGAATTTGGATCCGAAGATGATGATGACGACGAAGAAAATTCACAAAGCGCACTCAACTTGAGCAGAGATGCCAACTTAATGAACACAAGACCAGGACACAACAGGAAGAATTCGACTCCACTCAAGAGGCAATGGGGCTCCTCTACATTACCACTCAATCTTGGGACTCAGTTGATAAATCCCGCCACAGGCAAGAAGAGAGTACAGTGCAATGTTTGCTTAAAAACATTCTGCGATAAAGGAGCTCTTAAAATACACTTTTCAGCAGTACACCTTAGAGAAATGCATAAATGTACAGTCGAAGGATGCAACATGATGTTTAGTTCCAGGCGTTCAAGGAACAGGCACAGTGCCAACCCTAACCCTAAATTGCACTCTCCACACCTGAGAAGGAAGATATCTCCTCATGACGGAAGAAGTGCTCAGAACCACCCTCTCTTAATACCTCCCCTACCAGCAGGACTGAATCCTCTGACATTTGGTACGTTTCCATTGCTTACTCCTCCTCCTGAAATGAGACATCAGGCAACCGCTTTAGATCTAAAACAGAGTTTGGATCTCTCAGCCTCAAAACATGATGATAACAGAAAATCGGAAGCGTCTGAACATGAAGATTACATGATGGATGATGATGATGAAGAAGGCATTGTAGTCGAAGGTGGTGGTGACTCCGATGGCGACTCGGATAACCACAATGGAGAAAAGCAAGAAGATACTCCCGTCAAAAGGTTTAAAGTCTCTGAATCGGAAGGAGATGCAGAAGAGGACATGATGAGCAACATGGATAGCAACGAAGATTCATTGAGTGTAGTAGATTCACAAAGCTATAAAGAAGAAAATGGACCCGAAAATTTAGTGACAAAGAGCTCTAGAAAAAGGAAAAATAGAAATCCAACTCGATGCGCTGTTTCACAAAGTATTAATCACAACGATAACATAATAAGTGATGATGACTCCTCCAATAATATGATGGACAGGACACATCATGAGAAACAGGGTACTATGGAAGAAAAGAGCGAGGATCTTAGGGTAAAAAAGACTGAAGAAGAGCCGGAAAATAATAATACTATTAAAAAAAACATAGATAAATCTCAGGGAAACGCCAACAACTATTACGATTGTAAGGAAGGCTTAAATCTTTCGATACAAGATTGTAAGACTGAAGAACCCGAAAATTACAAGATGGACAGGTACTGTAGGGACTCCAGGAAAGTGGAACATAATGAAGAAGAATCGAGGGAAGAGAAACAACGACCTTCAAGTAGAAACGGTGATAGTCAGCGTAGCGAGGAGTCAATAGATTCCTCTAACGCGCTGCGCCAGCTCGAGAACTTATCTCAGGGTCACTTCGGCGACCTCAGCCGTCATCACCAGGACTACCCGGGCATCAAGTACATGGACCAAGGAGACCCACCTTCCCCAGCGAGGTCACAGGGTTCCTCCGGCTCTTCCAATGGAGATGGCGCATCAGACGATCCTGAAATGCACGGATATTTCAACGACGGTATGGATGTGCCCATAGACAAAGATAATCCCAGAATGTGTACTGCTTGTGGAAAAGTATTTCAAAATCACTTTGGTGTTAAGACTCATTATCAAAACGTTCATCTGAAGCTTATGCATAAATGCACAGTGGACGGATGCAACGCTGCGTTCCCGTCGAAGAGAAGTCGTGATAGGCACAGCGCGAATCTGAATCTGCACAGGAAGTTACTCTCGACATCACTGACGGACAAAGCGAACATGTTCTTGGACCCGACTCACCTCTCCAGCCTGACTTCGAACCCAGCCCTCCACACTGAGTTCCTGGCGAGGCTCTACGCCGACTCCGGTTCTCTGCCGCACATCCCTCCCCCCGGCCTGCTCAACGGAGAGCGGCTTCCTCCTCATCCTCCGCTCTTCCTTCACCCCCTCGGAGGTCTTCCAGGCTTCCCAGGTTTCCCTCATCTCCCTAGCTCCGTCATCAACGGCCACTCATCAGGATCAGTTTCACCCTCATCCGCCCCGGCATCACCACACCTCGTCTACGCCGACGATGAAGAGGAAAGGACACCCGATAAGGACGGCTTCATACCCTGTAGGTTCTGCAATCAGTCCCTCAAAGACCGGGGAAGCCTGAAAGAGCACTACGAAGCGAGCCACCTTGGCGACATGCACCGCTGTTCAGTACCTGGTTGTAACCTCGTCTTCGCTACTTGCAGGAGGCGAAACCTTCACGCCGAAGACGAGCAAGCTCACAAGAAGACGTGACCTGCTGGAAATTCCGCCCGCAATTTTGGCTACTATTCAATTGACTCGTTTTCGGAGACAATCGATGTGCAATAATCAAAATATTGATAAGTTTTTGGTGTTCGGGCGATTGTAAATTGTATTTACACCGGTATTTATACATATTATAATTTAGTAGGCGTCTCCAGGTAATTGAAGCCATTACGATGAAAGCTGCTATGGAACCAAACTTTTGTAATATTAATTGTATGGATATTTTATTATAATTATGTGAGCGCTTTGATTACCTCTTTTTAGCTGTTTGGTATACGATTAGAGCTACGTGTGTTGTCTATATGTATTTAGTCATGAACTAGAACTCGAATTCGAGAACGTGATGTTTACTTGTATTTATACATAAACCATATATATGTATTATACCCACCAAAAATATTATTCCCTTGTATATTTTTTTTTTTTTCACAAATCACTTTATAGATTAATATTTCAATTTATAAATAAATATTATTATTGTATATAAAAGATTTATTGATTTATATGATTGTCTTGTTGTATTTCTATGTTTCAAAACTTTCTATGTTATTTATTAGTCAATTTCGTCATGAAGAGGTAGTTAAACATTGTGATATTTTTTCAGTCGAGTCCAGTTTTTCCTTCAAATCAAATCATTAATCAAAATTATTCCAATATTAGTTGTATCATTCTATGTCTGGCCTCCTATTTGGTGTAACTTTATGTGTATTATGAAAATAACTTGTAGAAAGTATAACTATGATCTCTTCTTTCTATCCTAGAAAAAAAAATTGTATGTATTATATTAAAATAATTTAAAAATAAAAAAAAATAAAAATGTGCATTCTTTTCACGAAGCACTTTGTTGTACCTTCTAAATACTCATGTATAGTATATAAAAAAAAGATATTTGTCTATCTAAGTTTGTTACAAATCTGCATAAATGTGTGTAACATATTCCTAGCAAATATATAAATATATATATATAGTTGATCTTCAACATTTTGAAAAAAAAAAGATATATATATACGGTTCTAGTTGTATCATGTTGCATTGTAAATAAATCTCCTCTCCTTTACCCAATCAATTGTAAATGTAAGAAAATTAAAATTAAAAAAAAAAATTATAATATAATAAATCTTTAATATTCATTACGTTGTTTTTATTACATTCATATACTACCCAAATAAAATATTTCAACACTGCTATTAACTAAAGGCATTAGATGAATAATCTGTATTTAATATCATATATAATAATATAGCATATATTTCTATTTCTATGTAACATTAAATATGATGTTATTGAATTAATTAATATAAATGAACACATTCTATCATATTGTAACCGACGGCTTGTAGAAGAAAGAGAAGCTGGAAATGGATACCGACGACCTCTAGCGGTGAACAGTGAAACTACTTTCTCTCAAGTTCAACTCTTCAAACTAACTCCTACATAATGACACAGTTTCATAAATACAACTCTTTTTAATTAATTTAAAATATAAAATTAATTAAATAAAAATTAACTATATATAGGCAATATTTAATTAAATATATATATAAGCAATATTTATAAATAATGATAAACCAGCAGTAAAATAAATAATTTCAATGCTTACTAACTAGTAAATTGAATATTTAGAAGATAATTTATAAAGTTATATAATTATTTGTAAATTCATATAAATCATTTATTTTAACAAGCAACTATTTATTCAAAAGCTATTAACACAAACACTCTGACACACACACACACACATACACACACACACACACACATATATATATATATATATATATACATACATATATATATATATATATATATATATATATATATATATATATATATATATATATATATATATATATATATATATACAAGATGTTCCATAAGTAGAAGGAAATATTTAAAGAGGTGACAGCAGAATTCAAGAAGTTACAATAGAGTTTATATAAACACTGAAACGATTTTTAGCAGAAAAATAGAAAATCGAAAAATCATTATTTTTTATTAGAATTTTTTTTTGGAAAATATTTATTATTATCCTAGGTTTTATTAAAAATAAATAAAATAAAAGCTTTGCACTAATTTATAGCAGTCATTTTTGCTGAAACGACTATTATCTTTAGGTGATGGGACATAAAGTTATATATATATATATATCTGTATATATATATATATCTATATATATATATATATATATATATATATATATATATATATATATATATATATATATATAATTTGTTTATATAACATGAGGTGATTATAAAGTTTTTCTCAAATAAACCACAATATAATTGATATATAGACTCATTAGCGGATCAAGGATTTAATTTTTTTTTCATATATATAACGATAATTAATTTGAAAAAAAAAAGAAGAAGAAAGAAACCAACTACCAATATGACATGGTGTCTTAGTGATTCTTGAAGTTCTATTAAATGTAATTACAAGAACAATAATAGTTTAAGAGATAGTTTTTAATATTTTTTTCTATAAAACATGATTATATTTTACCATTTTTGGGGGGAGCTTCCGCCCGAAAGCCTCCTTCCCCCACACATCCGCCTGTGTATGGACTCAAAGCTAATTAATGGAGGGAATTTTTCTATAGTTGGAGTATTTGTGGTATAGATGAGAGATGATAAAAAAAGATCGCGGATAATTTATGATTTTTTAAAAATGTTCAAAAATCCTTTTTTAAATGGTTTTAACAATGAAAAATTCTACTTATGTTTGAAGAAAATTTTATCTAGTTTACAGTAAAGTAATAATGAATCACTTAAATTAAGTAGTTCTTTAGTTATCGTTTCCTAGTCAGGAAAAAACATGATAGTTAAAAAACAAAACTTGGATTGCCTGCTTCTTTATTGAAAATTGGTCCATTGCTCATACGAACTTTTTTGAAGCTCTTGGAGTCTGCAATAACTCTTTTAAATATTTTGCCCTATTTACCAGACAACCTATATACATAAATCATGATATATAAAGAAATTTAACCTACACTTAGCATGAATCGGTAGTTACATGGTAAGTGCCTTATAAACAATAAATAATACATTTAAATTATTATTAAATACTCTTAAAAGTTAGTGTATTTAATTTTGTATTTTATCACCCTCCAATATACAGTTTGTCCCACAAGTAGAGGGAAATTTTTAATTTCCAGCACCAAAAGGCTTAGGTATTTTAATAAGCTATAAATATAACCAAAAAAATATTTAATTTAAATAATTAACAATTCATAGTAAACTAGACAGAGTATACTTAAAGTAGTAATAGAGTTTGTCATTGTTTAAACCATTTAAAGAGGACTTTTGTGAAGATAAACTAAATTCATTTTTATAAAAAAAAAAAAAAATGAATTATTAACTATCTATTTTTATCCCTCTCCAATTACTCCACAAATACCAAACTTTCAGAAGAACTTTCTGTTTTTAATATTCTTCAAGTCCATATTAATTAATTTGAGGTTTATAAAAATGTAAGTTTAGATTCACCTCAAGTTGTATACAAAAAAAAAAAAAAAAAAAAATCTGGTGTGTCCACTCACACGATTTTATTACCTATTTCAGACAAATTTTTATATCTTTACGTATGTTCATGAAGAAACAAAAAAGAATTGAACTAGATTTATTTTCCTGAAAATTTATCAAACAAAGTACGATTTATTTGATAAACTGAAGCAATATAAACCGGCTTAAGATAGATCAGTGTAAAAATTTCAATATCCTCTAATATTGCTGATCAAAAACTTTTTGCCATAGCCTAATTTTGTCAAACAATAATTTAAGTTAAAAGTATCGGAAATAGTGAAGCTTGTGTGATGCGGGCAACAGATTTTCTTACTTTTACGTAGTTATCTTTTTTTTCTCTCATTCAACCCTTCGAAAACTGCATATCGGAAATTTGACCCGATCGCAGTACTTTCCTCTCGTGGCATAGGTAGGAAAGTGATAAATTAAAACATGCCTAGAAACTACAATAAACTGTACAATTAATGCACGGCGGTCCCTCCACGCCCAGTGGTATAATAAAAGGCCTCTGGCCACAGTTGCAAAGAACGCATACAGCGTGCAGAGCCCTCTTACCTTAAAATGCCCTTGGGCAATAAAAGGAAAGTTGAAAATTTATGCATATATACATACTGTATTTATTCAAGAAATTCCTGGGGAGTAGGAAAAAAAAAAATAAATAAATAAACTGTACAGCTTTAAAAAGAAAAAAAAAAGGAAAAAAAATAAATAAATAAACTGTATCATCGCTAATACTGGGTTCGATTCCGATGATTTTTTTTTTTTTTTTTGCTAATTTAATTATCTTTCGAAAGTTTTATTATAAATTTTACCATACAATATATACTTAGGCCCCAAAGCATTTTTCTTTTCTTTATAACTTTTTTTTCCTGAATTATCTTGGGAATTTAGTCCATGTACGAAAATTGAAAGGACAATTATTAGAGCATTATAGGAAAGTTTCATCAAAATCGTTAGTTTAATTGTAGTCAAAACCATATAAATAAAAACAGAAGCAACAAAATCGGTTCACTAGTTCCCGAGAAAATTTTGGCACAGACAAAGTACAATGGCTAAAAATGTGTTTTTCGAACTCAGGGGGCTCTGAAACGTATAGATCCGTCGAAAACTGCATATTGGAAATTTGATCCGATCGTAATACTTTAATAACCTGGTATAGTATTATGATTTTTAATTTACTTATCTTTAGGTTATTTTTTTTTGTACAAAGTTTTTGGTTATTATTTTACTTAATTTTATATTTTCTGTATATATGGTGGGAATGTATTCATGTATCTCTATATAATATAGTCCACGTGACAGATTGTTATAATTCTAAATAAATAAGACATGAGTGTAAAGTGTATACAGGAAAGTAAAAAGAGGTGATTGATACCAATAACGTAAAAGTACCCGCGTTAAGAGCTAAAATGACTACAATAAATTATTGCAAGCTTTAATTTATTAATTTTTTCATACCATGGGATATATTGTAATAAAAATAACTAAACAAATACACATTTTATTTACAAAAAGTAATTATTTTATTCACGTCATTTTTGGAAATGCTAATAACTGCAGCCCGAATTCTCGTGCAATTGCACTTCTTTTTTTCGCTGTTGGCTAAAATGAATTCTGAAAAAAATAACCTATATTCTCTATCTAAGATATATTAATAATTTATTTAATTTCTTTTTTCTCTTTTTTTTTTGGCACTCGCACTTTTTTTTCAACTTCTGCAAAAAATAGTATATTTTGCTAAAATTAAATGATTAATTTAGAATAATAAATTATAAAGCAAGGTTTCACTAAATAACACATGGCTATACTTTTTAAGCCAATTTTAAATAAGTTTAATTTTTCGCAGTATTTCTAAGAACGCTGTCAAGTTTTTTATTTTCTTCCATGAAATTGGTGGAAAGAAATCCAAGAGAAATTGTTTTACACAGGTAGCGAATGATTTATAAATATTATTATTTCCATGTTTTAAGAAACCTTATTAGTAAATATCAATAAAAGGAATCATTATTTAAAGCATTTTTAAAAACCTAAAATATACATTATATATTTTTATAATTAATTCAAATTTTTTTCATTATTTCTTTTTGTGATTCGTATATATTTTCGGCGTTCAACATTAATTAGGACATGTCAATTTTTGTATATTAACAATAACAAAATGAGATAGTTGTTACAGGTAATAATGGTATGTATTTTCATGTGAATAAAAAAAAATTTCATGTATAAGTGTAAAACTTATACATTATATGTTTTCTTAATTATATCAAAAATATATTTTAGCTGTTGGACCACTGTTCGTTAGTATTCTCTTTTTTATAAAAATATACCTCCATTTTGACAACAGTTAAAAAAATTCTTAATTGTTAGAATACTTATAGTTCCTTGGATGAAACAACGCAACTACAATATATATAATGATGTAGAGATGGTTGACCGTTGATATGATATGAGAAGGAATTAGTCGAGGATGCGGTAAAAAAAAAAAAAAAAAAAAAAATTAAAATATATAAATAATTTTAATTTTTTGCCGACGTTTCAAAAAATTAAAGATTAAAAATTATTTATATATTTTAATTTTTTTTTTTTTTTTTTTTGACCGCACCCTCGACTAATTCCTTCTCATATCATATCAACGGTCAACCATCTCTACATCATTATGAATGCATTACCACGGGGTC